TTGGTGACCAAAACATTGGGTAATTGACCATTGAGTTCAATGGGTTTTGACACGATCGGATGGTGTTGGTGTATTGAGAATACGGCAAAGCACACTAGGGCTATCTGCCTAAGGGGAGGGATGCCTTTCGTGGAGGACTTTCTAAGGAAAACTGGCTCGTATACACGCACATGGGGAAAACCACGAAAACGCCCATGCAGCCAGCCCGTTCGCGGGATTCGAACCTCGGACCGAACTACCAGTGTTCAGCGATTTTACCGCTCGGCCGCTGGTGGGCCACGATCGGATGTAAATATTTTGTAATTACGTTGTAAATATGCATATAAATGTATATATTTCTTTTCTACAATACTTCAGAGATCTAAGTATATGAAAAGAATACATTTTTAAACAACATTTCATTCGACGGAATTAAATGCTATACTTTCACAGAACAGTTGCTCAGAATGGTTTAATTTGAATATTTTCACAAGTTTTGTTAATTACATTAGAAAAAATTAAGGTAATTCGATTTGATTCGGTTAGGATTACAAAAAATTAAGATAAAAGTTTATTGTATTATTAAAATTATGCATATTTCTTTCTATTTATAGAGCTTCTTCCTAAATACTTTCTCAAATTGACATGATTTTTTAGCTTTGAGGCATCTTTTAAATCGAAAACTATAAGTCAATTTATAATTAATGCTCTATTCGGTCCATTTCAAATTAGAGCACCTTTTAATTACTAGCGAATAGTACTTTAAAACAGTATTAACTTTCTCTGAATATTTCTGAAAGGGAATAAAATAAGGATTATTTTTTTAATATTATTTAAAACTTGTAACTGACTTATATAAGGGGAATATATGACGGATAAAGGGAATAATTATTTTAATTATACTTATTAGAATTTTTTACCGTTAATTTCAACATACATATTCCAAAACTCTTCCTTATGACTTTCTTAAGTACGCGTCTCATAGAAATTGCTTGCAATACCTTTAACAGATGTTTTCCAGTACGAACAATTCTTACTAAATATTTTATAACGTATTTGTCAACAGGATTGCCAATTTATGTTTACAATTCAATGTAAGGTTATTATATATTTAGATAATATTTATAATCATTATAAATTTAGATGCATTTAATAATTAGATTTCTTCACAGTAACTTTCACAGTTATTTATGAATAAATAAATCTTTCATTTCAAATACACTTATAAATAATTAAATAAATATTTACGTATTTTGTTAAAGGCAGATACAAGCTTTTTGAAGGACATGCATAAATACTCATACATATTTCATATTTTTCATTTCCGGCATGTGGAAATCTTTAATTTCTGTGCATTTACTATATTTTTTGAGTAAAGTAATTTACACTAATTTTAAAAAGTACATGTTACAATAATATACGGATGTGAAAAAAATTTATTTTATTTAAAACATTTTGCCGTTTGGAACATAAAATAAAAGTAGCGAATGCTATATTAATGGTATCGATAAATGTATACAATTTTAAATGTACGGTGAGGTATTTTTCATTCTTTAAACATAACGTTTTTGCTAAAATCTATATTTTTGATGTTCAACAGCTTAGAATTTTATAAAACAAATTCATAATCAAAATCGCTGTTGTTAGTTATCGAAAAATAACCAAGATGTGATTTTTGCGTAAATGTCGCTGAATTATACATATTGCTGTTATCCATCATAGTAGGAATGTTTCTTTTATGCGGAAGTGTCCCGTTTTTCGATTTATATAGAACTGTCGTGTGTCGAAATACTATCAGCGCGCTGTCAAGCGAGCTTCTGAATGTAAACAAAAAACACCCCATCTGGTGACCGAAGCTTCGAAGCAGTGCTTCACTTCTAGTACCGGTTTGGCCACTCCTTTCTTTCTTACCTCCATGCAATATACTTCTTCTTTGCAAGAGGGGGAGGAGGGAATTATTTCTATACGAAGCTATAAGTATTTGAAAAGTTCGTGCAAATACGAGATAAAGGAATTTAATATTACAAACAGAATCTTTTATATTTCAAGATATATAGCCCACCAGCTGCCGAGCGGTAAAGACACTGAACACTGGTAGTTCGGTCCGAGGTTCGAATCTCGCGCACGGGCTATCTGCATGGGCGTTTTCGTGGTTTTCCCCATGTGTAACGTGTATACGAGTCAGGTTCCCTTAGAAAGTCCTCCATGAAGGCACCCCTCCCTTTAGGCAGATAGCCCTCGTGTGCTTTGCCATAAATGAATAATCCAATCCAATCCTTTCACGATATATACACACACACACATATATATATATGTGTGTGTGATAAAATCAAACTCAAAAGTAATGACCGATGGCGTGAAAAGTTGACACATTAATTGTTCCTATTCCAAAAAGTTTACATTTTATATAAATTTGCAGTAAGTAAGAAGGAGCAGACAGACTGCAGTCGAGCTAGACGAAAGTGCAGAAATCAAGTGAGTTATGTTCAGTGTGAAATCTTAATTTAGACTGAGTCAGTTAATTGGTTCTCAATGCATTTTGATTGGATAGTTAATACTTATATAAAATTACTATTGGCTGTTTTAGTTCCATTTACATCATCAGAATTATGTAAGAGTCATATGACATGGATTAGTCTCAAAATGACGCAGTGAAAATGGAGGTTACTATTTTTAGAACAGACAAGGTAAATTATTTTACGCTGCTAATTTAATCTCTTACATATTATATATTTTTCTTACATATATATTGTATACATATGACCTTTTTATCTTAACTATTTTGGATAAATACACTAAACAGTGGGAAATAACATTTAATAGTTACAATAGTCTTCGTCAATTACGACTAAAAATAAATTTGAGGCATTATTAAAAATAATAGATTTTGAATAAAATAAAGTGAAATTTTTAGAAACTTATATCGTCATTCTCATATACACTGCTCGACATTGAAAATGCAACACCAAGAAGGAGTGGTCAGAAAATGATGAAATTTGGAAAAAAGATAGAGACAGCAATCAGCAATAAGTGATCTTTATTTCAAAATGATAGTCAGAATACAGAGCGAGAACGGCGTCGGCTCAGTAGGATAGTGATAGTGACGGAGGACGTGGCCACCACCCCTTTACTATTAAGTTAATTAGCATATAGGGCCACGTCCGCCCTTATACAGAGTAAAGCCAGAGAGGCCCCATGGGAGGCTTGCACAAGGCGACCAAACCCAACGCCTGGACCATCCGGTTGGCAGTTCCGCGAACCAAATGCCACCGGGTAGACACCCGTCCAAAGTGGCCGGGTCCAGTGATTTTGAATCTTCAAGAATAGCATTGTACATGGCTAAACAAGGGCAGATATACATTAGTAGTTATTTACATGCTTCTGTTAATACATATTTGCTGACATGCAATCCAGCACTGTTACAGGACCACCGCGGAAAGCGATGCACGAAGAAACACGTCTAGGCATAGAGTCAATAAGAGTGTGGATGGTGTTCTGAGGGATGGCTCTCTATTCCCTTTCAACCATTTGCCACAGTTCGTCTACTGAACGAGGCAGGGGCAGAGTCTTCAAACGGCGTCCAATCACATCCCACACATGTTCGATTGGTGACAGGTCAGGAGAGTACGGTGTCCAGGGAAGCATCTGTATACCTTGCAGAGCATGTTGGCAGATGCGAGCACTGTGTGATCGGGCGTTGTCCTGCTGAAAAATTGCATTAGGCAGCCTCTGAAGGTAGAGGATTGCCACCGGCCGCAGTACATTATTTAAGTATCGTTGGGCCGTCCTAGTGCTCTGAATACGAACTAGAGGTGACCTGGAATCGTAGGCAATAGCGCCCCAAACCATTATGCCACGTTGTCGCGCGGTGGGGCGTTCCACAGTTACTGCCGGATTAGAGATTAGATCTGTCTCCACGTCGACGCCACACACGTATGCGGCGACTGTCACTGGATAAACAGAAGCGTAACTCATCTGAGAAGACGACATTTCGACATTCTGTCATCCACATCGCTCCAGTCCGGCACCATTCTAAACGTTGGCGTCTATGCTGTGGGGTCAATGGCAGTCTTCTTAACGGACGCCGTGAGTGCAGGTCACGTTCAACCAACCGACGGGAAAATGGATCTGGTCGACACGGTAACATCCAGGGTATCTTGCACATGCTGCAGAATCGCGGTACAAGTGACTTGCGGGACCGCCACAGCTTGTCGGCGGATTCATCGATCCACGCGTGCTGACGTCACTCTGGCTGCACCTGCCCCCTTTTTCTTCCCACATTTCCTTGTTCCAACCATGTTCGGCATAGCCGATGCACCGTGCTCGCATCCATGTGGGTATCAGCTGCGATTTGACGTAAGGACCAACCCGCCATTCTCAGTCCTATCACCATACCCCTCGTAAAATAGTCTGTCTGCTGGAAGTGCATTCGTTTTCGGCGGCCTGGCATTCTCTTCAGAACACAGACACGTGGATGCCCGCAAGGCTCATGCGCGGGACCACACCTCTGGAATATTACTTTCAATCGAATATTTAGCAGATTCATGGCCAGACCACACCAAAGTAGTTGCTTATGCGGACGATGCAGCGTTCATCGTCAGAGGCCGCACAAGAAAGGAATTGCAGAAAAACTGCAACAACACATGTGCACTATTTAGTGAAAGATGCCGTCTCTTGAAGCTCAAAATAGCGGAGAATAAATCCCAAATAATACTGTACCCTAAAAAGGGAGGAAACCTGGCTAGGCAGCCAAGAATCACCATCAATGGACAAGCGGATCAAAATTGTCAAAGAACTAAGGTACTGTCAAAGAACTAAGGTACCTGGGGCTTATTTTCGATAATAAAATGAATTGGGTACCGCATATTTTAGACATCAAAAAGCGCACCATGGCAATTGCTAAAAACCTGCGTCTCATGCAAGGCTACAGCTGGGGACTCAGTCCACATATACACAAAATTCTTTATTAAACAGTGGCTGAAAAAATTGTGACATATGGGGCGGCTGTGTGGGCACAACCCATGCAGGGTCGTAAGACCAGACACCTACTCAGCATACAACGCCAATTCGCCCTGAATATCACACAGGCTTACCGCACGACCGCCACCAGTGCACTGAATGTCCTAGCCGGTCTTGTCCCTTTGCACATAAGCACGGAGCGAGAGGCGGTTTTTCAACAAGTAAAACAACTAAGAACACCAGCAACTCTGGAGGACATAGCATACTGGCCAGATGATTATGAAAAATCAATTAACATCCTTGAAAGACATCCTGCAACACAGGGAGATAACTGCGACACAGTTAAGGTCACCCTCAGACAACAGATAGAGCGTATGCAAATGCATACGACATATTACTACACTGATGGGTCCAAAATGGACGATAACGTAGGATGTGCGCTAGTCGCGTTCCGGAACCATCAGGAAATTTCACACTGGAAAGGCCACCTACATGGGAACAACAGCGTCTTTCAAGGGGAGGCTTTGGCAATTCACAAGGCAGTGAAACAGATAGCTGAACAAAAGCTGTATAATACCATCATAGTGTCAGACAGTATGTCTGCGCTACAAGCAATTGAAAATACTATGCATACATCGGCTCTCATTCATGATATTCAAAGTCTCCTGCGTGACACAATCCATCTAAACACCCGCCTGGCATGGACAAAAGCCCATGCAGGAAATATCGGGAATGAAAAAGCCGACCTCCTTGCGAAGGACGCTGCCCTTAATAAGGAAGCGGAGGCACTTACAGTCCCATGGCCGCATTCCACACTCAAACGTAAGCTTCACCTACAAGCGCAGTCAGTGTGGCAAGCAGAGTGGGATGCAGCACACACGGGTCGACGGACGCACTGTCATCTGCTGTACGTCAATCCTGCAAGACTGTACTCAAACCCGCATATGGTGCGCTATATAACAGGTCACGGAACCATTTCCGGAGTACTTTGCGAGGCACGGTATCGTCAGAACAGACCATTGCAGCTGCGGCCACCTCGGTACTCCGGAACATTACGTCACAGAGTGTCCAATTACAAGCGGACTGCATATCCCTATTCCCACTGAGAATCTACAGGCTTTTTGTAAATATATGGTGAAGCAAAGGCATCTCAGCCGAAAGATTACAAAAATCATGACGGCATTGGCAAGATACGACACAGATCTATGTGCCGTAGAATAAATATTGCGCTCAGCAAGACAGAGGCCAAATTACACAGTATTCACTGCGCTAAGAGACTGCTCTAACTTCAGTGTAACCTCTTCTGCATGGCTTCATGCCTAAACAAATTACACATGTAACCCTAATGTATATGTATGTGATCCTAAATGAATATGTAATACATCCTAAATGTACATGTATATGTTATTGCACGTGAATCTCAGTGTAATTTTATACGATCCCACATAGGGATATATTGCCTCTGAAACGTTCTGCACATTTGTCCACACTGATATGAAACTGTAAGAAATTCATCACTTATAAATGAATGTAGCTCCATGATTAAACAAATTGCATCTGTATGTAATCCCAAATGTATATGCATGTAATCCGAAATGAATATGCAATGCATCCTTAATGCATATGTCTCCATTATAGTACGTGAATTTTAACGTAATACTACACCTGTATGTAATCTTAAATGTAATCCCAAACGAATATGTATGTAATCCGAAATGAATATGTAATGTATCCTTAATGCACATCTCTGTTATAGTACGTGAATTCTAATGTACTTCTAATTAAACTGCGCTGGTATATAATCTTAAATATATTTTCATGTAATCCTAATGAATTAGGATTACATGATGTCCTGTATCCTCAATGTATATATTATAACTGAATATGTTACGTATCCTTAATGTACCCTTAATGTCTATGAATATAATATTGCATGCGAAGTTAACTGTAATTCTACACTAAATCAGACATACCAGAATTACCTCTGTATTCCTTTTACTGCACAGCTCCATATCTAAACAAATTGCATTTGCATGTAATCTCCAATACATATGTATGCAATCTGAAAGGAATATGTAATATTTCCTTAATGCATGTGTCTCTGTAATAATACGTGCATTTTACTATAATTCTAATTAAACTACAACTGTATGTAATTCTAAATGTCAGCCCAAACGTATACGTACGTAATCCGAATGAACGTGTAATGTATCCTTAACGCATATGTCTCTGTTATATTACGTGAAATTTACTGTAATTCTAATTAAACTGCACTTGTATGTAATCCAAATGTATACGTATGTAATCCAAATGAATATCTTATATTTCCTTAATGTCTCCTTATCGCATATTATAATTGTATATGTCACGCATCCTTAATGTACCCTTAACGTATATGTATATGTTATTGCACATGAATTTAAATGTAATTCTACACTAATTCATGCATACCAGACTTATCTTTGTATTGCTATTATTGCACAGCTCCGTATTTATACAAATTGCATTTGCATGTAATTCCAAAAGTATATGTATGAAATCCGAATTGTATATGTATGTAATCCGAAACGAATATGTAATGTGTCCTCAATGCATATGTCTCTGTTATAGTACGTGAATTTTGATGTCACTCTAATGATTATGTCATGTATCCTTACTGCATATTATAATTGTATATATTATGTATCCTTAATGTACCCTTAATGTATATGTATGTTATTGCACACGAAAATGCACATCATAATTGTATCTGTTACGTATCCTTAATGTACCCTTAACGTATATGCATATGCTATTGCACACGAATTTAAATGTAATTCTACAGTAATTTAGGCATACCAGAATCATTTCAGCATACCAAAATCATTTCAGTATTGCTAATACTGCACAGCTCTGTATTTAAACAAATTGCATTTGTATGTAATCTCAAATGTATACGTATGTAATCCGAATTGTATATGCATGTAATCTCAAATGAATACGTCATGTATCCTCAATGCATACGTCTCTGTTATAGTACGCGAATTTTAATGTAATTCTAACTAAACTGCACTTGTATGGAATCCTAATGTACAAGTATGTAATTCCAAAAGTACACGTATGTAACCCGATATGCATAAGGGGGTAATGTATCCTTACCGCATACATCTCTGCTCCAGTACGTGAATATTAATGTAGTTTTTAATTTACCTGCATATGTATACCTGTTATGTTTTCGTCTGTATGGATCCCTATAGGGATCTATTGCATGAGGTTCTATGCATAATTGTATCACTGTTCAATCAGCATTAAATAATCTGTAATTATCATCGAGCAGAACGCATTCTTGAAACTTATGAACGCAAGCGTTTCATAAGTGTCATTGGTATTATTTAGATTAGCCATTTATTTTTACTGTATGAATTAACATACTAATCTCATTTCTGTTGGTGTCAATATACGCATTCTTGTACCTTGTTTCATCGTGTGCTCTTGCAATAATAACATTTGATTTGTTGCTCTCATTTTAAACTTTATAAATCTCACTTGCTATTTTATAAATCACTAAATTGTATCTATCATGTATCAACTGTATGTTCAACCACCCTTGTATGACAATATATCTCTCTTCTTTTAGTCTCAATAAATTCCCGGGGGCCCTTTGGTTCGTTGAACTGCTCATGGGATGGATCCGGCGTTGCGTCTGGGCGCTCAGTGCGAGGCACGCGTGAGGCTCCTCTCTAGCCAACTCTAGATAAGGGTGGACATGGTGCTGTACTGATTAATCTCTATGGCAAAGGGACAGTGCCCATGCCCACCGTCACTTATCACTTATCACTTATTACATATATCCTCCGAGACAAAAACGATAATTCGTTTGGCAGAAATAACGACACGACATTCTGCATGTTCCTTCCCTTATATCTTACGGCACAGACGTCGGAGAGCTGCGCATTTCACCTCATTCGCATAACTCAGTGACGTGCGTCTACTCTAAAATTTGCATAAATTTCTGACCACTCCTTCTTGGTTTTGCATTTTCAATGTCGAGCAGTGTATGTCATACTATCGTGTCACAGTTGTTGTTCATTAAAATTATGTTAATATTATGTTTGCATGCCTTTGCAGCATTACTGCGACGTCATTTCATGCGTTACTTGTTACTCTGTACTTGTAAATGTAAAAGAAATCATTTGTTTTAATCTAATCACGTAGTTTAATAAGTGTCTGTTCAAAATAAATGATCAGGTACAAAATCGTTTAAATTTTATACATATTAATCAAGTTTCATGTGGCTGTATGTTTCAAATTTACGACTAGATAGAGACACGTAACACATCAACTGATGAAAAAGTGTCCAAATTTCATTTACATTTTGCTATTTGTCACTCTGTATTAGTAGATATGAATCATAAATCCATTTGAAATTTGGTCAATCATTTTGAATAAATCAGTATTAAAACACACAGTTTGTTTAAAATACTTTTTGTTTTTATTCCTTAAGAATAGTTACTGCTTTTAAATTCTAGCTTAGAATTCTCATGTTTGGACACCAAACAGAAGAAATAATAGAAATGATATTACATTTTGTTATTTCTTGCGTGTTGTATGACGTGAAATATAGTGAAATATACAAGGAAACAACATAAAGAATTATCGCAGAAAGTTTTTTAGATCATATGACAAAAGGCTCTAGAAACTTTTCTTCCAGCACTTGTCTCATGAAAATGAATTATTCAGCTAAATCTAAAAAGAAAAAGACCAAACCGTTTTTTGAGAAAGGCGATAAAAAGTTATGCTTGCAGCCCCAAAGTGTCCGATTGGCGACTTTCTGTAATTAAAAAAAAAAAAAAAAAAAAAAAAGAGAGAGAGAGAGAGAGAAGTGTGGTTGTCTTAGTAACGCTTGCGTGAGTTCTTCAAGAAATTCGATGGCTTGAACAGAAAGGGCATTTCGCACGCAATAGTGGAGTTAATATTCAGGAGGATTCAAAGTATTCGAGTTACATTTAAAAACTTAGTATTCTGCATTCATGTTACTCCGTTTCGTACAGCATAGGAAACAGTAAAAGTGCAGAAAATGTTAAGCTTATTTTATTAAATATGCAGTTTTCTGTTTCTCTTAATATTATTTTTACATTTTTAACAAAAAAAAAAAAAAAAAAAAAAAAAAAAAAAAGAGAGAGAGAGAGAGAAAGAAAGAAAGAAAAGGGGGGGGAAACGGAAAAAAAAATCTCTCTGAAAAAACTACCCATGCTTCCAAAACATTTTGATTTTCTGTAAATGACTCACAGTGATGTAGCACGCAGTTATTCAAATAGGTTTTTAGAAACAGCGAGATCGCTTTCGATGGAAGTCGTCTTAGAGAAGTTGTCACTGTGAAGTGAAGAGTTTCATGGTACTTTAAAAATAGACTTATATGTTCGTCATTTAAAACCTGTAAACGAGCTTGGTGAGCAGTACCAGTAATTTCTGTGGAGACTTGTCAATTATGATGTTAATCAATGCCACCAATTAATTATCACAATGACTTTTTATTGGTCCTTAATTCATGGAAATCTGTATAGTTGAATATTTAAATTAAAGTATTACTAAAATAACTGAATGCTTTTTAGATGTCTCTAAATTACAGCCTGCTCTCAGAAACTGCATTTGCATCCCTCAGAAACATTAAATTCAAATGACAGACAAGATACACAAGGAATAAAAATATGGCTTTTTTCGATTCCTATCAGAATTTCTTTTTTTAAACAAGAAGTGGCAATGATTTTACTAAGGAGAATTTCACAAAACCTTCATCCAGCATCTATAAATAGGAAGCATGAAGTACATCAGAATTGGAAAACTGCACTTTAGAACAATCATTTATTCAGAGTTTTAGAAAATATAATTGTATTCTGTTTCGTAAATGTTTCCGGTGCCATTTTTGAAGGAATAAGCATTGATTATGAATAAAGCCATATTTTTATTCCTTGTGTATCTTGTTATTTGAATTTAATGTTTCTGAGCCATGCAAAAGCAGTTGAGAACAGGCTGTAATTTAGAGACATCTAAAAAGCATTCAGTTATTTTAGTAATACTTTAATTTAAATATTTAACTATACAGATTTCCATGAATTAAGGAACAATA